CACAGGATGAATATGTAGATAAATCATTCTGTTTTTTCTTATTTCCTGATTCTAAGATCTTTTCCACTTCTTCTCCCTGTGTGTGTGTGTGTGTGTGTGTGTGTGTGTGTGTGTGTGTGTGTGTGTGTGTGTGTGTGTGTGTGTGTGTGTGTGTGTGTGTGTGTGTGTGTGTGTGTGTGTGTGTGTGTGTGTGTGTGTGTGTGTGTGTAGAACCACAGCTGAAGGGCATAGTGACCAGGTTGTTCTGCAGGCAGGGCTTCTATCTACAGATGTGTGTGTGTGTGTGGTGTTGTGTGTGTGTGTGTGTGATGTGTAGAACCCACGCTGGACTGAAGGGCTCATAGTGACCAGGTTTGTTCCTGCAGGGCAGGCCTTCTATCTACAGATTGGGCCAAGGATGGAGTATGGATGAACCGACCAAAGACGACCAGCAGCCAAACACCTTGTGAGTGGACACACGACACGGGGGATTGAACAATACCACATGACTGCAAACATTCTTGAATAGTTGGGTTGGTAAAGTTGCATTTTGTTGAGGCAAACTGGAAACATATTCCAGTTTGATTTGCCAGGGAGTTCTATTTTATTCCACACAGAATATCCTGCTGATAACTAACTGGTGTGTGCATCCCCTTCTAACATTTGTGACTACTCTGCACTAATTAAGGCAGTGCAACAAATCCGTTTGCCTTAAAGTCCCATGTCATGGCCATTTTCTACTGATCATAATTCCGTTCTTGAGGTCTATAGAAATTAAGATTTCAATTTGTGCAATTTCCAACTCACATTGGTTCCTCAAACAGCTCTTCTGTAGTAGTATGTGTATTCACGTTCGGTCCTAAAACGGCCTATGTTGGAGCTGCCCCCCCCCTCCCTGTGAGCCCCCAGTGGCCGTCTGCGAGACAGCGAGACACAGCGAAACCCAGCCCGAACACACACACACACACCAACTTCCGCAGCCTGGCTGGGAGAATTTGTGTGTGTGCTCACAATCTGAGCAAAAGAGTGAGTGTGTGTTTGTGAGGAACCTAGCACGGCCTCCGCGGAACAGTAACGAG